AAAATACTTTGGGATTTGGGGAAAGAGCACTTACTAAATACAAAGCATATACTAACTTCTAAAGGGGATAAACCTATTTTGGTGTCCCTGATAGGAAAAAAACTTTGCATATGCACTTGAAAATTTAATTTCCTTCTTCAGCTTTTTACACACGGTACCTGGCCCCTAGAAAGCTTTATATTTTTTAAACATTTGTTGAATGAAATCATTATACCCTATTGCAGTATATATTAAATATAAAATGAGGCATAGGGACAGTACCACAGAGAATTAGAGGCGAGGACTGTGGACTGGTGTGGAAAGGGAAGAATGAGAGTGTCTAAATTGAGTTCAGGCAGCTTAGAGGAGGTATAATCTAGGCCTTAAGGAGTGGATGGGAATTGGTCAGTAATGATGAGAATTGGTCAGTAATGTGGAAGGCATTGGAAGGAATAGCTTGAGCAACGGTCTGAAGCCAGGGACATGCATAACATGTTCTACAGGTGGTAAGATTTCAGGAAAGGGAGCAGTAAGTAATTAGCATTTGCAGCGCTGCATTCATGAGGGTTATAATACCATGAAAAGGAACTTGGACTTTATCTTATAGCTAACGGGGAGCCGACGGAAAGTTTTCATCAGTAGAATAACATGACAGAGCAGTTACAATGGTACAAATCCCTGATAAAGCTGAGGAGTGGTTCCAACAAACTTTCTCTTCTTTATATTCACCTTCTTCTCTCTTTTCCTTTTTCTACTTTTTACCCCATTTCAGTCTTCCCTTCTCTCTCCATTATCTTGGTCTAGCTCTAGTATAAACATACATAATAGAGATAATTATAAGTCTGTCTTAGGTGTAGTCTCTCACCCAACCAAATTTGGTTTCCTGACCATTGTCTTCCATGGAAAATTTAGGCATAATGAGAAGTATCACAAAATTATGATAGCGCTATACCATGCATCTAATTTCGCTACCAAATAAAATGAGATAATGGAAAATTTTTCTCATGTAATTTGGAGAGATTTATCTGTACTGGCATAGCAGATTCAATCTAAGGCTAAACTGTTAAGCTATTGACAAAGTTAACCTACAGTTCTTCTTTTAGCTGAATCTGTGACTAAACAAAATTAAGGGACTGTGTCCCTTAGTTTTTCCCTTGGTCACCTAAAAAATGCTGTGATGAATGTGAAAACCAGTTTGCTAGAAGAATATAATCAGCTTATTTATTTTTGGTGTCTAAGGAATTTAAAAACTGGTCAACTCCTGAAAAAGATACACATCGATGATTCTTACCAAACTTCAGTCTGTCACAAAGCCTATTCTGAAATGGTAAGTAATGATCTGCTGGGACCACTTTGTGTTTACCTTATGTGTTCCTATTGGTCTCACTAGGTGAGAGCAATAACTTAGTTAAGTAGGAATTAACAGACCCTCCCTGCTGCCTATTTTTTCAAAATTGGATCACAGTGTTTGTTCTTTCTTGAAATTTATGGATGAAAATAAGTGTGGGTACAATGTGATTGCTTGGTAAATTTTCTGGCTATATGATTTAAAGGCAAACATTTATTTCTAGCTATAAATTTGTACTGAGAAATATTATGCCTATTATCAGACTTGGCTCCCAACCACATTGTCATAAGTGATTTATGATGTGAATGAGCACCTTTAGTGAGGATGATTAAATGGTCCTAGACATGTTTTTCTCTTAGGCTTTTTTAATTTCTCATACAGAAACAGTTACTTAGCTATTGTGTTAACAGATTTTGGGTTACAATCCAATTTTGACATTTGAACAGGTTGAAGGTAGTTGTCTAAGAGTGACAAAGAACTACTTGAGTATCCACTGTTGAAACCACAGGCAGAGGCAGCAGTAGCAGACTCAGCACTTGTGTAGAGTCTGACTTGCCTGGTATCATTGGTTACCCAGAGGGCATCAGCAGCACCCAGAGGCTCTGAATGCAGAGAATGCATCTTTTCCTAGCCTAGCAGGATCTGTGAAATTGATCTCTAAAGTATGATTGTAGGCTACTCACTCTGGGGTCAGCCCACACTTTGCCTATGAAGTGTGTATTCCTTATTCTTTACATTAAACCTTTCACTTTCTTTTTTTTTTTTTTTTTTTTTTAAAGATGACTGGTAAGGGGATCTTAACCCTTAACTTGGTGTTGTCAGCACCACGCTCTCCCAAGTGAGCTAACCGGCCATCCCTATATAGGAATCCGAACCCGTGGCCTTGGTATTATCAGCACCACACATTCCCAAGTGAGCCACAGGCCGTCCCCAACCTGTTTTCACTCTCTAAAAAAAAAAATTATGATTTGTAGATAATCTGTAACATGATCTTGAGCCTAACTTTTTTCATCCTTTAAATAAGAGGGTTGAACTCATTTCTAGAATTTACCTGTTATGCATTTAAATAATGGTATATCTTTTGTATTATAACATTAGTACCTATTTGTTATTAACATTTGGTAATATGTTAATATCAAATATTTTTGATATTACCAAATATCAAATTTTTGATAAAAACATTTGGGGTGGCCAGTTAGCTCAGTTGGTTAGAACATGGTATCATAACACCAAGGTCAAGAGTTCCTATTCCTGTGCCAGCCATATGCCAAAAAACAAAAAAATTTTTAGAAGTGCATGAAAAATATTTTAAAAAAACACAAAACATTTAACACAGAAGTGTGAAAGATGGTAAGTAAAAGTCCCCCATAAAGCCAACCTTCAGACATAATAGTTTATTATTTATTGTACTCTTGTTTAGTATAGGGATTAGTAAACTTTTCACATAAGAAAGTGCTGGCCATACAGCCTCTGTTGTAAGTGCTCTGCCACTGTGACACAAAACCAGCCATAGACAATATATAAACAAATAGATGTGGCTGTTTTCTAATAAAATTATGGACACTGAAACTTGAATTTTATATAATTTCCAGGTATTACATAATATTCTTCTGATTTTTTTTTCCAACCATTTGAAACTGTGAAAACACTGTCAGATCATGGGCCATGTAAAAACTTATGAACACTGGGCCGGCCTGTGGCTCACTCGGGAGAGTGTGGTGCTGATAACACCAAGGCCACAGGTTCCGATCCCATATAGGGATGGCCGGTTGCTCACTGGGTGAGCATGGTGTTGACAACACCAAGTCAAGGGTTAAGATCCCCTTACCGGTCATCTTTTAAAAAAAAAAAGAAAAGAAAAAAGAAAAAATTCAAGTTTCAGTGTTCATAAGTTTTTTTTTTTTTAAAACAATCCAACTTTTATTTATTTATTTATTTATTTGTCCTTTTTGAGACTGGCCGCACTGCGCTCAGCCAGTGAGCAATGTGAGCGCACTGGTCATCCCTATATAGGATCCGAACCCGCAGCGGGCCGCACTCTCCCGAGTGCGCCATGGGCTCGGCCCAAGTTTTTTTTTTTTTTAATTTTTTTTTTTTTAAAGATGACTTGTAAGGGGATCTTAACCCTTGACTTGGTGTTGTCAGCACCACACTCAGCCAGTGAGCGAACCGGCCATCCCTATATGGGATCCGAACCTGTGGCCTTGGTGTTATCAGCACCGCACTCTCCCGAGTGAGCCACAGGCCGGCCCAGTGTTCATAAGTTTTTACATGGCCCATGATCTGACAGTGTTTTCACAGTTTCAAATGGTTGGAAAAAAAAATCAGAAGAATATTATGTAATACCTGGAAATTATATAAAATTCAAGTTTCAGTGTCCATAATTTTATTAGAAAACAGCCACATCTATTTGTTTATATATTGTCTATGGCTGGTTTTGTGTCACAGTGGCAGAGCACTTACAACAGAGGCTGTATGGCCAGCACTTTCTTATGTGAAAAGTTTACTAATCCCTATACTAAACAAGAGTACAATAAATAATAAACTATTATGTCTGAAGGTTGGCTTTATGGGGGACTTTTACTTACCATCTTTCACACTTCTGTGTTAAATGTTTTGTGTTTTTTTAAAATATTTTTCATGCACTTCTAAAAATTTTTTTGTTTTTTGGCATATGGCTGGCACAGGAATAGGAACTCTTGACCTTGGTGTTATGATACCATGTTCTAACCAACTGAGCTAACTGGCCACCCCAAATGTTTTTATCAAAAATTTGATATTTGGTAATATCAAAAATATTTGATATTAACATATTACCAAATGTTAATAACAAATAGGTACTAATGTTATAATACAAAAGATATACCATTATTTAAATGCATAACAGGTAAATTCTAGAAATGAGTTCAACCCTCTTATTTAAAGGATGAAAAAAGTTAGGCTCAAGATCATGTTACAGATTATCTACAAATCATAATTTTTTTTTTTAGAGAGTGAAAACAGGTTGGGGACGGCCTGTGGCTCACTTGGGAATGTGTGGTGCTGATAATACCAAGGCCACGGGTTCGGATTCCTATATAGGGATGGCCGGTTAGCTCACTTGGGAGAGCGTGGTGCTGACAACACCAAGTTAAGGGTTAAGATCCCCTTACCAGTCATCTTTAAAAAAAAAAAAAAAAAAAAAGAAAGTGAAAGGTTTAATGTAAAGAATAAGGAATACACACTTCATAGGCAAAGTGTGGGCTGACCCCAGAGTGAGTAGCCTACAATCATACTTTAGAGATCAATTTCACAGATCCTGCTAGGCTAGGAAAAGATGCATTCTCTGCATTCAGAGCCTCTGGGTGCTGCTGATGCCCTCTGGGTAACCAATGATACCAGGCAAGTCAGACTCTACACAAGTGCTGAGTCTGCTACTGCTGCCTCTGCCTGTGGTTTCAATAGTGGATACTCAAGTAGTTCTTTGTCACTCTTAGACAACTACCTTCAACCTGTTCAAATGTCAAAATTGGATTGTAACCCAAAATCTGTTAACACAATAGCTAAGTAACTGTTTCTGTATGAGAAATTAAAAAAGCCTAAGAGAAAAACATGTCTAGGACCATTTAATCATCCTCACTAAAGGTGCTCATTCACATCATAAATCACTTATGACAATGTGGTTGGGAGCCAAGTCTGATAATAGGCATAATATTTCTCAGTACAAATTTATAGCTAGAAATAAATGTTTGCCTTTAAATCATATAGCCAGAAAATTTACCAAGCAATCACATTGTACCCACACTTATTTTCATCCATAAATTTCAAGAAAGAACAAACACTGTGATCCAATTTTGAAAAAATAGGCAGCAGGGAGGGTCTGTTAATTCCTACTTAACTAAGTTATTGCTCTCACCTAGTGAGACCAATAGGAACACATAAGGTAAACACAAAGTGGTCCCAGCAGATCATTACTTACCATTTCAGAATAGGCTTTGTGACAGACTGAAGTTTGGTAAGAATCATCGATGTGTATCTTTTTCAGGAGTTGACCAGTTTTTAAATTCCTTAGACACCAAAAATAAATAAGCTGATTATATTCTTCTAGCAAACTGGTTTTCACATTCATCACAGCATTTTTTAGGTGACCAAGGGAAAAACTAAGGGACACAGTCCCTTAATTTTGTTTAGTCACAGATTCAGCTAAAAGAAGAACTGTAGGTTAACTTTGTCAATAGCTTAACAGTTTAGCCTTAGATTGAATCTGCTATGCCAGTACAGATAAATCTCTCCAAATTACATGAGAAAAATTTTCCATTATCTCATTTTATTTGGTAGCGAAATTAGATGCATGGTATAGCGCTATCATAATTTTGTGATACTTCTCATTAGGCCTAAATTTTCCATGGAAGACAATGGTCAGGAAACCAAATTTGGTTGGGTGAGAGACTACACCTAAGACAGACTTATAATTATCTCTATTATGTATGTTTATACTAGAGCTAGACCAAGATAATGGAGAGAGAAGGGAAGACTGAAATGGGGTAAAAAGTAGAAAAAGGAAAAGAGAGAAGAAGGTGAATATAAAGAAGAGAAAGTTTGTTGGAACCACTCCTCAGCTTTATCAGGGATTTGTACCATTGTAACTGCTCTGTCATGTTATTCTACTGATGAAAACTTTCCGTCGGCTCCCCGTTAGCTATAAGATAAAGTCCAAGTTCCTTTTCATGGTATTATAACCCTCATGAATGCAGCGCTGCAAATGCTAATTACTTACTGCTCCCTTTCCTGAAATCTTACCACCTGTAGAACATGTTATGCATGTCCCTGGCTTCAGACCGTTGCTCAAGCTATTCCTTCCAATGCCTTCCACATTACTGACCAATTCTCATCATTACTGACCAATTCCCATCCACTCCTTAAGGCCTAGATTATACCTCCTCTAAGCTGCCTGAACTCAATTTAGACACTCTCATTCTTCCCTTTCCACACCAGTCCACAGTCCTCGCCTCTAATTCTCTGTGGTACTGTCCCTATGCCTCATTTTATATTTAATATATACTGCAATAGGGTATAATGATTTCATTCAACAAATGTTTAAAAAATATAAAGCTTTCTAGGGGCCAGGTACCGTGTGTAAAAAGCTGAAGAAGGAAATTAAATTTTCAAGTGCATATGCAAAGTTTTTTTCCTATCAGGGACACCAAAATAGGTTTATCCCCTTTAGAAGTTAGTATATGCTTTGTATTTAGTAAGTGCTCTTTCCCCAAATCCCAAAGTATTTTGTCCAAATCTCTATCACTTTGACCTTGTGTGAACTATAAAGGAATTGCATTGAAATTGTAAAGGAATTGTACACTTTGAGTTGTAAAGGAATCTCATTTACCAACTAGATTTTAGGGGCGTTAGGACCAGAATTCACATCTGATTCATCTCTGCATCTCTCCCAGAGAATGGTACATTAGTAGAGACTCAAATATCTATTGAATGTTTGAAGATGGTGCTGAGTCAATATAGCTTAACCAGGATGAAATATTTAGACCTTCAGCAATAGTTTTTTAAAAAAAAAAAGCCACTTGCGGGAACACTTATTCTATTTTATGGAACAACATGTTCTAGGATTCTAGAATCGCAAAAATGCCAACTGAGAAAAAAAACCAAGCCACTTGAATCGTGAACATAACATGAATCACTTTAGACATCTAACAAATCAGGAGTAAGTAAGATAGGTGAACAGATACTATAAGTAAATATAAAATTAGAGCTGAAAAGGTAAATGATAGATTTTGGTAGAAAGTATGACCAACACATCTTTGCTCCCTAAGCAAGGAGCTAAGGCAGGCATTCAAGAATAAACCTAAGCCATGGTACCTATCTTCAAGGACCAGAAAGATAAACAATACAAAGTAGCAAATGCTAAGTTAAAAATAAAGGCAATTGTAAGGGGGGAGAGAGAGGGAGGAGGAATCAGTAAAGGGACACAAAAATCAACTACATTGTATACTGATGAAATAAAATAAAATAAAGGCAATATTCAGAGAGGAAACATCAATGAAGACTGAGATGATACAGAATTCAAGGCAGCTGTGGTGCTGAAGATAACCCTTAAAGGAAATATATTTGGTTTTTCCTTTTTGGTAGCTGGTCAGTACAGGGATCCAACCCCTTGACCTCAGTGTTACCAGTACCATGCTTTAACCAAGTGAGCTAACCTGCCAGACCCCTTAAGTATAGAGATCCCTCCCCAACCTCAAATTTCTTGGTGACCTATTATATATTAAATGCCAAAGGACTACTATTAGAAAAAGGGTAGAATGAGAGATGGAAAGAAAAAAGGGAGCTAAGGGGTATGGCATAGCTGAAGAGGACGGTTTTGTAATAGCGCACTGGGAAAGTGGAAGCTGGAAAAAAGCAAACATTGGCCCCAGTGAAGGTGTTATGGGGGGGTTTGGGCTGGGAGGAAGAGTTTACAAAGTAATAGTATAAAAGATGATCTAGAGGTTAAATATTGACTGATGGCAAGGAGACCAATTACTAGATTATAGTAATAGTCCAGGAGCCAAATAATGAAGGTCTGGACTATAAAAATAGCAGAAAGACTACAAAAGATGGCTTTTCTTTTCTTTTCTTTTTTTTTAAAAAGATGACCGGTAAGGGGATCTTAACCCTTGACTTGCTGTTGTCAGCACCATGCTCAGTTAGTGAGCAAACCGGCCATCCCTATATGGGATCCGAACCCGTGGCCTTGGTGTTATCAGCACCGCACTCTCCCGAGTGAGCCACGGGCCGGCCCAAAAGATGGCTTTTCAAGAGAACATTGTCCTCTAATAAGACTGTTGTGCAGAAACCCTGGGCAAAGTGCTAAAGGCAGACAACTGCTGTTCCAGACATCAGGACATCTATAAACAGGGTCTCCTGGCACAGTCAAATTTCAGAGGCTTCCTGGTAGGTAGGGGACAAAGTTTCTCTCAAGGGCCATGCTCTTCTAATTTATTCCAAGAGGGTTAGGGTTGGATGGTGCAGAACAGGTAGAGTGGTAGCAACACTAATATCATAACTTTCTTTTACAAAGACCCATTCTAGCCCTAAGGAAACAGTTAATAAACAAGGATTCTGGGGGAAAAAAAAATCAATCTATTCTTTTTTTTAAAAAAAGATGAGCAGGGCCGGCCCAGTGGCGCACTGGATAGTGCACCGCTTGGGAAGTGCGGCGGCGCTCCCACCGAGGGTTCGGATCCCACATACAGACCGGTTCCTGCTCATTGGCTGAGCGAGGCGCGGGAGCAACACCGAGGGTTGCAATCCCGTTGCCGGTCCCCGGTCCGGTACGGGGGCAACACTGAGGGTTGCGATC